GGGAAATAAGATGGAGAGGCTATCTAATGCTTCATAAGGTTGATACGTTGAAAGGTGTTAAGATCTGTTTTGAAATGAACAGCAATGCATTGTTCTTGAACATCTCTGTCAAAGCCGGAAGTACAAATTATTGCTTTTCTGCTTAAAGTACCTTGAGTGTCTGAAAGTGAAAATCTGAAGAAAATATCTTTTACTATAACGATGGGACGCAATTTCAAATGGCTTATTATCCCCAATAGTTCTATATACAGACTTCCAACCTCCCTTTTTTCCAGGCAGAAGAAAGATTGTCTTAATTGTCAGCAATGGGCCGTATGCGTAGTCTCTCCGTAATAAGTAAAGAAAAAACAGAATAGAATGTGTGCTTTATAAAAGCTACAGCTGCGAAGATTGATCTTTACAAAATATTTGTAAATTTAACACAGAATTTGTTGTACTACAGTTGAAGTTGACTGAGAAAAGCTGGATGCGCCATGTCACTCGAAAGCACATGTCGCGCATACTCCAGTAATAGTTTCCGACGGCTACTAAAAGAGGTTAAATTAATAACGGCAAATTTAGCAATATTGTTGCAAGCTTTGGATCGGGAAGCTGCAAAAGTAGTGTAGATAATTAATATGTACGCAGGGTTCTAGCTGCTAAGAAGGCTCTTGAAAGAGCAATTCAAAATATAGCAGCTAAAACAAGTTTTGAAAATGGAGATGGTCTTGGGCAAGTATCAACGTTGACAGTTACGATTTGAAGGTAATAGCTGCGTATAAGAAGGTTCTGAGGCAAAGTTTGGTGACAGAATTGTCACCTTCACCGGTTATTTAAGCAAGTATTTATGAACAACAATTTGACAATAACCATGCAGTGGTTAGAAGTTGCGCTACACTCTTTCCCGGTCACGGACGGACTTCTCAAGAGCATCTTACTTCGCAACATCCTAAACATTAGGCTTGAGAGTATTCAAAGAGTATAAGGAATTTATGGAAGTTAACTTGAACAACCCTTGAATGTCTCTAAACTTTCGGAACGATGAGCTGCGTAGAGCGCAGCACAAAGTGTATGTGCAATTTCTGTAGTCTTTAGCTCCAATATAAATATTGTTCTAAGCAAAGGTATGTGCTTAAAGTTGACGGATGGATCAAACCAACATTCCGACATTATCCCACTATTGCACATCACTTATGGGTAATATCTGATGTTTAGCAGATAAACCAAAATTGGCACCAATTTAGGCCGCTGAGTTAACATTAGAGAAGGAATTTAGGGATAAAGCAGATTTGTTCCTTTGAGAAGATGTTAAACAAACAATCTTAACAGGATGCAGTTGACTTTTGGCGGACCCTTCCTGCTGTCACCATAGAGTTTCAGTTAGAGTCCTGTTTAGATTTCATCCTCAAAACCCAACCAAGCCTTTTCTTATGCTGCTTCTCGTATGATGCGCCCGTGGAAGAACAAAAAGCCCGCTTTTCTTAAGCGGGTACATTATACATCACACAGCTGGAATGTAATTCAGTGATAGTGGCAATGAAGCGTTCGGATTTCACACACTAATAAAAGAATTCGCAAATATGTATGATGTATCTAAGAGTTTAGAGCTGTAGTTTCTTTTTACCAAAGGTTGTTGATGATTGGGGATGGCATGA